CTAAACTTTCCAATTTTTTTTAGAGTCTTAAAATGTTTTCTAACGGTTCAATATCAAGATTCAAATTCAGACCCACAAAGTTTAAATATTAAAATCATTGTAAAATATGCGGAACCTTAGGGTTAAATGGGGCTCAAAAGAAACCTCAGATGTTCGACTACAAAAGTAGAAAAGCATTTCACTGAAGAAAAAAAGGCAAACTACTTAGATGTCCTAAAAATCAGTTTTTGATTTTCATACGCTTCATGCACATTTCTCCTTGAGTGGATATTTTATTGACCCAAGTTCAGTATTCAGGCCCCGAGTAGATGGCGTTTACGGCCCAATATATACGCGGCTATAGACGCTCAAATATTGTTGGTATGTTACGCAATAAGAATATAAAATTTTCATGGGAATAAAACAGAACTTTTCGCTTTCGTCAAGTGTTATCAACTCATGTAGTTGTTGATGTAATGATTTGATCTGTTCTTTTTTTGTAAACTATACTGTAAACACTCTTGTAACACTCCAACCCTTCTTTAATGAGCTCAATTCAAACCTCAATCTGGCGCTGGGTTATGAATACTTCCAAGAAAAGAAGTGTTCATTTCATTCCGCCCTCATCCCTGCGTCTGTATCTGTTAATTTAAAGGAACAGAGATCTGAATAAAATTCTCCGAAACAGAAATCAACACCACATGTGTTCTATTGCGTACAAATAAAACGCTAGTGATTCAGGAATGTTTTAATCAAAACAAAACTATGAATCAGAAAGTTGATAACCGGGATCCGAAAAAATGACATGACATGACACTGACCTTTCATGTGACACGTCTGTGAGGATTATGAGGCCGACTGAAAAATGGCAAATTCTTATCATACGTCAAAATTGCGACCAATTCACTATCTGACCGTTACATTTCATCCAATCAATGACAATACAACTTGAAATTCTGAGATAGCCTTCTAGTTCCATGCACGGTGACAGCGCGTTGAGTGGATTGTCAAATACAGTAGACTCCCGTTATAGGTGTTCGCCTGGGGCTGTAGGGGAAGCGAATTCAGCGAATGCGACTATATTTTCATACCCCCACCATACGCTTATTTTTGCTTCCGAATGCACTGATAGAACGGATTAGTTATTGTTAACAAATGGATTTTGGTTGGAAGTTAGGATCTATTCGTTCTCACCAGATGTTCATTCGTTAATAGTTAACGAATGTATATTTGAGGAGCCTTGTTTGACTTGACTTTCGCCATTCAAGTGAACCATTCGTTAACTATTAACGAATATTCATTTGGTCATATTCAACTCTACCATTCGTTAATAGTTAACGAATCTCGTNCACCAAATGTTCATTCGTTAATAGTTAACGAATGTATATTTGAGGAGCCTTGTTTGACTTGACTTTCGCCATTCAAGTGAACCATTCGTTAACTATTAACGAATATTCATTTGGTCATATTCAACTCTACCATTCGTTAATAGTTAACAAATCTCGTTTGAAATAAATGAATCAGTCTATCAGTGTGGAAGCATTGTAATCGTCCAATTTTCACATTCTCTAATTTTGATTAGAAATTATGTAGAATGGTTTAAAACGTAAAAATGCGAAGTTTGGCAACCATATCTGTATATGAATACGTTCACCGCCATCTTCCCAGTGGTCAATTTTTAGAAAATTGAGTAATTAAATGGCTAAAGTAATTCCAAGAAATCTAAAATTTTGTAAGATTATAGGTCTTAATGAGCACTAACTCTGTGCAATATTTCAGCCCGATCGATCTAATAATTTTTGAGAAAAAGCGATTCGTTTTTGAACTAGTGGACCGATTTCGATTTTTTTATTTTCAAAATATTTATTTCATTGTCTTTTATCTAAATCAATCAAAACATAAACAAAGTTTTTTCATAACATACTTCGTAACCACTCTAGTTTGCACCAAAATCGAGATATCAACTTGAAATTTGGACAGAATCTTCCTCTCATGATAACATCAGTTCGCATTGAAGATGGATTCAATCGCATTAATAGTTTCGCAGTTCAAGACTATGAGCTATTGGATTGAAGGTAGGAGTATGCAGCTCTTGCCACTGATAAAATGATCCATTCATTCCAAACGAGATTCATTAACTATTAATGAACGGTAGAGTTGAATATGACTAAACAAATAATCAAAAACCAATATTTATAAATCTTAGTTAACGAATGGTTCCCTTCAAAGGTGAAAGTCGAGTGAAACTATTAACGAATGGACATTTGGTGAGACCAATAGACCCTAGCCTCCAACCAAATCCATTCATTGACAATAACTAATCCTTTCTATCGGTGTATTGACGCACTGTGCTAATTTGATTTTTTTTCAAAAATTCATTTCTCAATAAAATAATCGGACTCTACAATTGATTTTGCGCCTAAAAAATACTCTTGATCCAATCTATAAACTCTGAAGAGGATTTCACCCAGAAAAAATTGCCCGAACAACTTGGATATCCGTAACGGGAGCGCCTATAACGTCTATACTGTCTATACTGTAAATATAATCAATGCATTTAACTCTTCATCACTCGCGCCCGGCCGCTAGCCTTCATCCGTCGCACGGTTAGCGCAGCGCCGATGGGTAAAACCGAGCGCGCTATTGCCATGTTGGCGCTTACCGCTATGCGCGCATTTCAAGTGTGGCAGTGAATGTAGCAACACTGTCGCTCGAGCGGTCGACAGGGGCTCACTCGCACCGGGCGGCGCGGCGCCGCTTTCTGTCCGTTCGATGTTTCTTTGTTTAGTTTCTTTTTAAACTACCAGGCGGGAGGCGCGCTTCGCGCGCGCTGGCCAGGTTGCATGAAATCAATATATGTTTTCATTTTTTTAATTAAAATTTCCCTGATTTTCACGTTCTGTAACAACAAATCCTCTTTGAAATGATATATGAATAGTTTCATTCACTTGATCAATAGTTGTAAAAAAATCCAAACCAAACTGAATTTACAATAAACACCATCAAATTCTACACTGACAGCACGGATTAGTTATTGTTAACGAATGGATTTTGGTTGGAGGTTAGGGTCTATTCGGTCTCACCAAATGTTCATTCGTTAATAGTTAACGAATGTATATTTGAGGAGCCTTGTTTGACTTGACTTTCGCCATTCAAGTGAACCATTCGTTAACTATTAACGAATATTCATTTGGTCATATTCAACTCTACCATTCGTTAATAGTTAACGAATCTCGTTTGGAATAAATGAATCATTCTATTAGTGTATTTTTGAATAAAAACTCCCACCTGTAAAGGACAATTTGCCTTAATGAAATAATGCAGGGGTCAATTTCAAGGTAATTTAATTTATTTTCACTTGAGCATGAGATATCTCCACAGATTCGAACAGAAACCGAGCAAATCTCGTCATTAGAACCAGAAATATGGAAATTTTCAAAACGTGACATGCTGAAATCGCTATATTAGCACTTATAACAATTGATCTAGTGGATGGAGTAGATACTATAGGGTCTTAATTTGGAGAACTCGATGAGCCCTTGAAATCGACATATGATATATCCCCGCTGGTCAAGTCTACACCCTTGATAAATCTCAAAAACTGTTATTTCCGAGGTGTGACATAACGTTGAGATAACGTAAAAAATATAAACAATATACAATAAGAGATTGTATGAGATTGTATGTGAATCAGATTTATCATACACCATTTCGAAGAATAGTAAATGTTCTTCAATTTGATATGTAGATATCCCTGCCTATTCCACTAAGGAGCATCGAAAAATCCAACCAAAGTTAATTTTCCAAGTGAAACATGAAAATTGAATTTTCGCCTAAAACTGTCCTAAGTTAATGAAAAATTGTCAGAATTGGACAAATCAAGTGTCATTCTTGAGCTTATTTAATAAGCTTTCAAATGCTTAACGACGAAGGACTTGAGCATGGAAACCAAAGTAAAAACCTCGGTTACGGACATGAATTTTTCTTTAGGGGAACCAAATTTATCGAGAAAAAATGGACAACGCCAACGTTTAATAAAAGAATTGAACTAGAAACTCTAATTTTTTCAGAATTTTCAAGCGTCGAGAAACACGCTAAAATATAGAAAAACGAAAACAGGCGGTGTCGCGCTCATTGAGCGAGTGATCGAGGGTTAAATCGAAAGCAGTAGTTAAAAATACGAATTACTAACGAATGTAACAGAATTTCGTGACCGAAGAATCAATGACTGTCAGTTTCCATCTGGCATAAGAAAAATTGACGTCACACGACGTTCATTTTTTCTGACTGCACAGTTTTTCAAAAGTGGCATCATTTTGCAATAGCCCAGAACTCATCAACTTTTTTTCCCCCAAAATTTCCGGATAAAAAAAAATGGCCCTCCCTGATAACTTAAATCTGCTTTACTAACAGCCCTCAAGTGGGAATCGATAGGGGAGTCAGTACCCATAGTATTCTCGAATGCTTTTGCGCTCGTAAGTCTCTTTTCAATGTAAAATTGACGTCACACGACATTCATTTTTTCTGACTGCACAGTTTTTCAAAAGTGGCATCATTTTGCAATAGCCCAGAACGTATCACCTTTTTTTCCCCCAAAATTTCCGGAGAAAAAAAAATGGCCCTCCCTGATAACTTAAATCTGCTTTACTAACAGCCCTCAAGTGGGAATCGATAAGGGAGTCAGTACCCATAGTATTCTCGAATGCTTTTGCGCTCGTAAGTCTCTTTTCAATGTACCACAAATCGCCCTTAATCTGTTGCCCTTGACCCAAATAGGATTGCCGGTCATTGGATTGGCGAGTGGTAAAAAAAAGTGGCGAGGTTCAAAAGACGTCTGCCCTGGGTATAGAATTAGAGCTCGGACGTTGACCGTGAACGATAAGCTCGGCGATAAGGGTTTCAGACAGGCAAAAAGTGGATTTTTTATTTCTCTCGATTTATTTTTCAGTCTCTGGTCGATATATATTTTTTTCCTCGTCAATTCAACGTGAGTGGGGGCGAATGGTAAGTGGTTCACTCACCAACAGACTGGACGTAGAACGTCACACGAGCGCGGGAGACTCGTGACCGACGTACAACGTGTGTGTTTGTCGCTTCGTCGACGTAAATCATTCGGCCTTCAGTCTCACTGCAGCTTGTCGCTCCTGTCATTCAATGCATAATCAAAACAAAAAAATGGTGGGATATATATTCGTATATATATAATTTTTTTCCATATAATGGAACAAATGTTCATTCAGTGGGGACATGCGAGGTGGAGAGTTCCGCAATTTTTTGCGAAGTTGTTTTTCGTTAGAATGAAGGAATAGTGACGACAATCACATTTGATACGTTTTAGGATATCCAAGTAGTTCGGGCAATTTTTTCTGGGGGAAATCCTCTTCAGAGTTTATAGAATAGACCCAGAGTATTTTTTAGGCGCAATATCGACTTTAGTTTCCAAACATTTTTTCGAGAAACGGATTTTTGAAAAAATAAAATTTAACAAATTGCGTCCATAAGAGCTGTATACTCCCACGTTCAGTCCAATAGCTCATAGTCTTAAGGATATCCAGGTATCTTTTACAGTTTGGTGCAGACCACACTACAGATTTAATCATTCTCAATCATAAAATTTGTCAATTAAATTGCGTGAGAATTTTTTTTTAAAAATCATGAATATTTAGTTTCATTTAAATTGTATTTTGCACAGATTTATTATGTTTTGAAACATTCGTTGTTCATAAATACATAATTGAAATTGTTTAAACTTTCGGAAACCTGACTTTTTTAGACATAAAATCCATTTCTGGTAAAATTGTGAATATGAGTAAATTTGTTACGATTTCGAACACATGATTTTATGGTGGAAAATTCATTATAAATACTTTCAAACAATGTATAAATTGTTTATAAAGTATTTATAAATGCTCATAATTTTCGAACATTGCAATGTTTAAATTATTTTATCAATCCTCTTCCAAAAATAAACTATTTTTTTTAGATTTTTAAAATGTTTTTCTAACGGTTCAATATCGAGATTTAAATTCAAATTCAAGTTTTAAATAATAAAATGATTGTAAAATGTTCGGAAACTTCGGATTAAATGGAGCATTTCATTGAGGAAAAATAACCGAAATACTTGGAAATCGTTAAATCGTTTTCTCGGGAAAATAACCGTATATGACTATGTTCATAATACGCTCCACTTTTTTTGCGACATTAAAAAATATAAGTTTCCGGACAGATAATTGTAAACAATCAAATGAAAGATATCTAAGTACTACCAAGTCCAAGTTAGCAATCTTTTTCAAGCAAGATTTCAGTTTTGCCGAAAATCTTGGCATCTCCATCCTTTTTTGGATTATTCATTGTTGAATACATTTTGTCGGGAATTTCTTCAATGAATATTATGAACAATATTTTATCCAATTTCAATTTTCAAAAAATCATAAGAGCCTCAATTTTCAATATTTATCACGGATATTTTTTTCAAAATGTTTGTTTGAAGACCGACTTTTTGGAAAAAAACTGGCGAGAAGATCCCCACCATTGACTTTTTTGGTCTCGCGTTTGACATGGATCCGCTCATATTGATTTTTTTCGAGAGTTATCGTGCCCTCACCGATTTTATCACGAAAATGAAAAATGTAAATTACTATATGACTCGCCCTAGTAAGCTGATTCAATAGATATTATCATAAGAAATATTTTGACGCTAGAAAAAGTTTCTTTGATGCAGTAGTTTTCAACATATTGAGAGAAGAAAAATGTTGGAAAATCGTGGTATCCTAAAAACTAATGGACCCATTGAGCTGAATTTAGATGAGATGTGTCCCTAAAGAACTCCAATTATTGCCCAAAATTTCAGATTTTTAGCTATCACTTTAGTCCTTTTTGCAAAGATTGATAAAAAATTCTCCGGAATTTTCAATGCACGCACGGACGCATACACAGATATTTTTACAGACATCATATCTCGATATTACATGACATCCTAGGTAATTTCCAATAAAAATTAGAGAATCACAAAATCCATCGATGACAAAACTCCCATTCGAACGGAGAAAAATGAAGAACCTTTGTTGGTATCGTCACTGAAAACGATCGAAAGTTTTCCCGAAGGACAAATTTAAGAAATCAATAGGAGTCGAATAGGAAGTTGAAATGAGGATTTTTTCCTATTCCTTTCAAACTTATCAGTGATTACAAATTATGTCACAATCTTATCCAATTCCAAAACATGCAAAGTCGCAATAGTTAAATAGTATATTTCGTAACGAGTGCAAAAAAGTGTTTAAAAACACTTTTTTTAAAAATATTTTTTCACGAGTTACGAACAATATTTTTCATCACAATGTGCCTAAAAGTCCAATTTCCGGCACATTGTGATGAAAAATATTTTTCATCACGCTGTGCGGAAAAGTGACTTTTCAGGCACCCGTGTGCCTAAAAGTCCCTTTCCCACGCATTGTGATGGAAAAAATCGTTCGATATTCGTGGGAAAAGGGTTTTCCGGCTCGTGGGATTACATCACTCGCCTTCGGCTCGTGCTATAAACCCCCCACGAGCCAAAAAACACTTTTACGCACTTGTATCGAAATATACTAGTTCGTAAATATACTATTTCATCACAATGTAGTGGAAATTGAACTTTTAGGCACGCGGAGCGTGCCGAAAAGTTCACTTTTCGTCGCAGCGTGATGAAAATATATGGAAGGTTTTGAATATTTACAAAAGCGAAACACAGTATTTCCTACCAAGCGAGTCATTCTGGATTCACAAAGAATTCTGCTTCTTTTTCTTAGTCTTAAAAAGTTAGTCGCAATAGCCTCGACGGAATGGAATAAACAACATTCTTCTTATACCCAAGCTCTTATGGAATTGATATCCGAGTTGATCACTCTCCAGTTAGAAGATTGAAAACATTGAGAAAATAATAAATGAAACAAAACGAACAATGTGAAATTGTTGAATTTCTCTATTTGTCTTCTCTAACCTGGCTCTATTTATCACATTCGATTTGTTTCATTACCAGAAAAAATTATTTAAGATTAGCAGGATAAAATTGCCATTGAAATGTGTAAAATAACTTTCGCTCATCACTAAAAAGAAAATTTAGAGTTTTGTGAATCGTCATGATTTTCTGTAAACACCCTCAATCGATTTTATCTCTACATCGGTCACTTCTAATTTCATTAAATTTACCGAGAAGAATCAATTAGATAATTTAGTTCTGATAATCGGTAAAGAATTCTGTATCAAACATCAACCGTTTCCTCCGACAAACATAATTGAAGGATATCCAAGTACTTTGACTATTTTTTCTCCACTGAAATGCTGTTCCATTTTTGTAGTCGAACCTCAGAGCTTTCGTTTGTGCCCCATTTCACCCTAAGTTTCCGAACATTTTACAATGATTTTATTATTTAAACTTTGCAGGTGTGAGTTTAAATCTCGATATTGAACCATTAGAAAGCATTTTAAAAATCTAAAAAAAATTAAAAAGTACAATTTCGGGGAAAGATTGATGAAATAGTTGAAAAAGTACAATTTTTGAGAACTCTGAATGTAATATAGTGAAAATGGTGATCGATTTTTCACGTTGAACAAATAATATTAATATCCAAATACAAAATTTCTGATATGAATAAAAAGAAGCTGTGACTCAATATTTCCAATTAAGTATTAATCTTTAATTTGGTGCTGAAAACACGAGATGACAATATTCTAAGCACGGAATTATATTGATGAGATGAACAACAGATAAATTGAATTACAGTGTGAACTAACTAAAAATTGATAACAGTGTGCATTCTCATAAGTTATAGAGTTTTCAATCCTCATGTATTGCTGATGCAGGCAACAATAACTGTTTGAATCAAATAAGCAATTATTTGTTGATTAATTTTTTGAATCAAATACGGAATCCTTTCACGAAATTTCCACTTTTTAGAGTTGAATATCGCAGAAACTTTGTAGTACCAATCTTACAAAACATTCACCGTGTTCGGAATTAATCAATCTATCACAGATTAGTTTTTTGAAACATCGTAAGAACAGTTTTCTTAGAAGATGGAAAAATCGAGTTCGGGGGGACCCAGGACCCCCTTTTGGTTTATGCCTCGTGTGTTAGAAGCCCGCATTTCATTATTCATCATCTCTTAAACTGTAGTACAACTAGTTAGAATTTTTTTCAATAACTGGGGAATTATAAACATTATCTATAACAAACATGGGAACAATTTTAAGAAAAACGTGTTTTCTAGGGATATACCTAAGAGATTCGGAATTTATCAATCTACCACGGATTAGTTTTTTAAAACATCGTAAGAACAGTTTTCTCAGAAGATGGAAAATCGAGTTCGGGGGGACCCAGAACCCCCTTTTGCCTTATGCCGCGTGTGTTAGAAGCCCTGATTTCATTATTCATCATCTCTTAAACTGTGTAGTACAGCTAGTTAGAATTTTTTTGAATAACTGGGGACTTATAAACATTATCTGTAACAAACATGGGGACAATCTTAAGAAAAACGTGTTTTCCAGGGATATACCTTAAAGCGCGAATCATTTCTCTCTTGAACACCGCAAAATATCCAAACTAATCCCCCCCCCCTGAAAATCCTCAATTATTCTTCCCGCCGACTGTTAAATTTCATTGTGCATCCGAGTGTTTCATCCGCTTTCCCTCGGGTGGCGGAAAAGCTCCAGCATTGTACCCGACACTACCACCTCTACTCCAACCATTACCGTTTGCGTTCTCTCAACTCAAACGAATGTTAGAAGTTTCCAACTCCCACTGATGGTGAAAGAGTTTCGAAACCACTCTTCCTTGCGTCCAAAAATCATGAGAATTCCCCGTAAAATCCACATAAAAAAACCTCCCCCTTTTTCGCACCCCTTGATCCCTCTCCTCGATAGCCGCCAGGAACAACAAAAATCAAAACAATCCAAACCGTCAAAAAAATAAACCCAAATCCTTGGCTACAAAAATAAATTCTCATCGTTTTTCCCCTACGAGACCGAAAAAATCCTAAAAAGACCGACGAAACTTGCAAGACCTCGTGAAAACCGTCGCCAGTTGGAGTTAGGTCAAGCCTTGCTCTCCCCCCTCCACTCACTAACCCATTAAAACAAGCAGAAAAAAACATATTCACTACAGTTGAAACATTGGAGTACAGAAAACCGTTCTCCAACCATCCAATTCCACCACCACCATTCACCTAGGCCTCAATCAGGCCTCACGAACGTAGTAACCCAACCACCAGTGTATATAATCCAAGTCGTAAGAATTTCACGCAAACAATGAGAGAAGGGAAGAGAGGAGACAAGTGGGATGAATTCGAGAGAGATAAAAAAATATGTGTGATGGAAATAGACGTTAACGTCATCTGTCACTAAAAGGAATGATTTTGAGGTGGAGGAGGAAGTGCGAATGGGTTATTTGGGTTTTTAGGGGGCAAAATGGGGGGGAGAGACGGGTTAAATAATGTTAACAAGGGGGAAATATGACCGGTAGGGGTTTTTAACAGGTTTGTACTCACCATTTGAGGTTTCTCACATGTTTTGGAGCAATGAGGTTATCACAATTTTTAAAAGAGTTGAGACACTTTTTGGGTTTTTTTTTGAGCAATCGGTTGGGAGACACTCGGCAGCACCGCGCTAAACCGTAAGGCTCGTAAGCACCTCGGCGGGCGACAGCACCCAGGCCATCTTGAAAAATAACCTTTGAGGGGGGACACACACCAACAATGCACGCGCAACACTAGCGGGACGAATTCTCATGTACAAGAGGTTTGCACGGTTTTTCGAAGGGAAAAAAGGAGAACGGGGAGACGGAGAGACACGGGCGATGCCGAGGCTGTGGTGTGAGGTGAGAACGTTGTGATGGAGGGGGGCAGCACCTGCTGGGGAACTCCATTGTTGCGGATTTGGCGGGAATTTCAAATTCCGGACGCTATTGTTGAGAATAACGGCCCACAATTTTTTGCACACTGGTAGAAAGGATTTTTTATTGGTAACGAATGAACGATTTTGTAGTGTTGCACAGGCGATCCGCCGCTTAAATGACCGTTGTTCTAAAATTGTAAAATTTATTGTAAATCCGTAAATTAGTGATAACTAGCGAGTGGGGAATGACTGCAAAATAAAAATATGTTGAAATAATGCAAGTTGTATGGATGGGATACTTGGTGGTATAACTTTCTGGATTGTTTGATCTTAGTGATGCTTTCCGTCGTGACATTTTTGTATTGTTTGTAGACTGTAGTTTGATCCTGTAATTGGCCTTGTGCTGTTGGGTCTTTATGAAATAAAATGAATTGTTGAGGATTTGGCGGGAATTTCAAATTCCGGACGCTATTGTTGAGAATAACGGCCCACAATTTTTCGCACACTGGTAGAAAGGATTTTTTATTCGTAACGAATGAACGATTTTGTAGTGTTGCACAGGCGATCCGCCGCTTAAATGACCGTTGTTCTAAAATTGTAAAATTTATTGTAAATCCGTAAATTAGTGATAACTAGCGAGTGGGGAATGACTGCAAAATAAAAATATGTTGAAATAATGCAAGTTGTATGGATGGGATACTTGGTCGTATAACTTTCTGGATTGTTTGATCTTAGTGATGCTTTCCGTCGTGACATTTTTGTATTGTTTGTAGACTGTAGTTTGATCCTGTAATTGGCCTTGTGCTGTTGGGTCTTTATGAAATAAAATGAATTGTTGAGGATTTGGCGGGAATTTCAAATTCCGGACGCTATTGTTGAGAATAACGGCCCACAATTTTTTGCACACTGGTAGAAAGGATTTTTTTTTGGTAACGAATGAACGATTTTGTAGTGTTGCACAGGCGATCCGCCGCTTAAATGACCGTTGTTCTAAAATTGTAAAATTTATTGTAAATCCGTAAATTAATGATAACTAGCGAGTGGGGAATGACTGCGAAATAAGAATATGTAAAAATAATGCAAGTTGTATGGATGGGATACTTGGTCGAATAACTTTCTGGATTGTTTGATCTTAGTGATGCTTTCCGTCATGACATTTTTGTATTGTTTGTAGACTGTAGTTTGATCCTGTAATTGACCTTGTGCTGTTGGGTCTTTATGAAATAAAATGAATTGTTGAGGATTTGGCGGGGATTTCAAATTCCGGACGCTATTGTTGAGAATAACGGCCCACAATTTTTTGCACACTGGTAGAAAGGATTTTTTATTCGTAACGAATGAACGATTTTGTAATGTTGCACAGGCGATCCGCCGCTTAAGTGACCGTTGTTCTAAAATTGTAAAATTTATTGTAAATCCGTAAATTAATGATAACTAGCGAGTGGGGAATGACTGCGAAATAAAAATATGTAAAAATAATGCAAGTTGTATGGATGGGATACTTGGTGGTATAACTTTCTGGATTGTTTGATCTTAGTGATGCTTTCCGTCGTGACATTTTTGTATTGTTTGTAGACTGTAGTTTGATCCTGTAATTGGCCTTGTGCTGTTGGGTCTTTATGAAATAAAATGAATTGTTGAGGATTTGGCGGGAATTTCAAATTCCGGACGCTATTGTTGAGAATAACGGCCCACAATTTTTCGCACACTGGTAGAAAGGATTTTTTATTGGTAACGAATGAACGATTTTGTAGTGTTGCACAGGCGATCCGCCGCTTAAATGACCGTTGTTCTAAAATTGTAAAATTTATTGTAAATCCGTAAATTAGTGATAACTAGCGAGTAGGGAATGACTGCGAAATAAAAATATGTTGAAATAATGCAAGTTGTATGGATGGGATACTTGGTCGTATAACTTTCTGGATTGTTTAATCTTAGTGATGCTTTCCGTCATGACAGCTTTGTCAAATTTTATCGATTGATGATTTCATTTTTGTATTGTTTGTAGACTGTAGTTTGATCCTGTAATTGACCTTGTGCTGTTGGGTCGTCATGAAATAAAATGAAATGAAATAAATGGATTTGGTTGAAGGGGGGGGGTCTATTCGGTCTCACCACACGTTTATTCGTTAACAGTTAACAAATGCATGTTTGAAGAGCCTTGTTTGACTCGACTTTCACCTTTCAAGGGAACCGTTCGTTAACGATTAACGAATATTTAGTTGGTCGTATTCGACTCCACCAGTCGTTAACAGTTAATGAATCTCGTTTGGAATAAATGAATCATTCTATCAGTGCAGAATCAAAGGAGAACCATTTTCTTCGATGTTCAAACATTTCCGAGTATTTTTTAGGAGTTTATTCTCGTTGCCTCGGCGTTCATGATAATTAAAGAGTCATAGACAAGTTTAATATTATGAGCAAAACAATATTATTGTGATTGTTGATGTTCAAACAATAGCCTAAGCAGCCCTCAGCAATTTTAGGGTAGTTGAAGTTGAAGATATCTTAGTACTGTGGCTATTTTTGCTTCCGAATGGAAACATTGTAATCCTTCAATTTTCACATTCTCTAATTTTGATTGGAAATAATGTGGAACGGTCTGAAACGTGAAAATATGAAGTTTGGCGACCATGTCTGTATGTGAGCATGTCCACCACCAGAATATTGAATAATCAAGTGGATCAAGTAATTCCGAAAAATCTGAAATTTTGTCAGATTATACGCAAACAATGAGAGAAGGGAAGAGAAGAGACAAGTGGGATGAATTCGAGAGAGACAAAAAAATATGTGCGATGGAAATAAATGTTTGATCCTGAACAAACATCTATTCGGTATTATGGACGGTATGACGGCAATCGGCCAAGCGGTTACTGAGATGAATTTGTGTAAATGTTTTTTGTTAAATATCTCACAAAATACTCAACGGATTTGATTTTTTTTCAAAATACTTGTCTCGACGGCATCTATCTAGATCAATCAAAATATTGATCCCCATTCATACAAAATTTTCGGGATATTGTCGTCGTAATGACTATCTCTGTGCAACACTTCAGCTGCATCGATCTAATGGTTTTTGAGAAAAAAAGATTCGTTTTTAAATAGTTTTCCACAAATATCTTCAAAACTAGTGGGCTGATTTCGATTTTTTTGTTTTAAAAAGATTCGCTTCGATGCCTTCTATCTAAATCAATCAAAACATATATATCCGTTCATACAAAGTTTTCAGAATATTGCTGGTTTTCCATTTTTCAAAACAAAGATCCGTCAGAGCAACGAAGAAACTTGACCGTTTCGAAGGCATTCTTTCAATTAGGAATTCTTACGGCAGATGTACAGGCGTAGATTTAGTTTTTGGGTTCCATATAACATAATTGTGGGGGAATAGGTGCCGAAGGCCACAATCTCTCCAGTACGATTTTATGCCGCATCCGTATACTCGCGTGGTTGACCAGTCCTCGCCTTCGGCTCGGATGCCAACTCCACGAGAGTAAACAACCCCATGGCACTCGCCCTGAAGCATATTATTTCATGACACCATACACTGTATTTCTTCCTTGATTTTTTTTACAGTTCTTATTATTAAAAAAAACAAATGTCATACATGTATAGTATATATGAATTTATACACTGAGAAAAAAATTTATTCCTTCCAAGAAAATGTTATTGGTGATATCTTTTTCATACTCTTAGTAGAAGAAAATATCTCTTTTGGAACGTATTTCTCCAGGCCAGTCATTTCCAGGTGCTCCGAAATCAGTTCCAAGCGTGAGAATTATGGTGATCTATAAGAATATTCTTCTGCATATGACCTCGAAGAAACTCCAATAATAATTATTAACATTTGGAATTATTCCAATTTTCTTTACCTGAGAAAATCGCCAATTTGTAAAATCCGGAAGATATCAGAGAACATTTTGTCAAGGTCATATGTAGCATAATAATCAGATTGTTCAATATCACTGTAATTTTTTAGGATAGACTTGGACTCTCTGAAAATGACTGTCCTGGAAAAATTCGTTCTGAAAAAATATTATCTTCTGACGAGAATATCAATCCTCGGCAGGAATAATTTTTTCTCTCAGTATAGTATGTATGATCATTCATAGTAACACATCACTTCTTCTGCACATGTTTGAATGAAATGACCGAATATTTCAGTGCGCGACATCGAGTGTGGCTCGACCAACAGAATGTTAAAATTCAAATATTTCTCTTTGAAAACAATGCTCAAAGGTGAGTTTGAATTATGGAAGGCCCTTTTTCAGACGATGGACTTATTTTCAGTGAATTTCATTATAAATACGAATGATTTTGAGTTTCTTTTGTTTAGTTTTTAATTACTTACAATATTTTATTTGAGCACTAAACGTTCAAACTACACTACAATAAATATTATCATTCATTTTTTCCTAATATTAATATTGACGTTTCGTTTCAATAAAATCTACCAAAATCGCACATTACAATTGTTAAATCTATGACTCCCTTCATTTGTATAATTTCATCTTATTAATTGCGATAGAGAAAAGCTAATTATTAATTAACTCTTTTACTTTCATCGTCTGTTTACTTCATATCAATCAATTGATAATAAATATCATCATTTATCATTAAATAATTAGACAGATACTTTCACATGCTCGTTGGCACTTGTTATGATTTCGTCATTCTGAGCTTTTATATCAATTACCATAAATATATTTATACTTTTCGTTTTCTTTATATTTCAATAAAATATCAATCAAAGTTTCTTCATCAGTTTACCTTGAGATTAATAAATATATGACTTCAATGCTTGACTTTTATGGACGCACATGACTAGGAATTAATTATTCTCACATGTATCACATGCTATATTGACTATCGTGTTTACGGACGGGATTCAAAAACTTTTTCATTTTCCTTTTCAAAATTTTTGAATCATTATTTTCGTCATTCTAACCCTCCGTTCTTAAAAAAATGATCAAATAATTTCTCTTTGTCACAAAAGAGGTTCTATAATTTGTTCGTTGATTCTAAAATTAAAAATCTATCGACTTGAATATAAAAAAATATTTTTGCCGTTCAAGAAGATATTTATGGGTTCTTAATGATGCTTCTGCCATTTCAGTGGTGGTAGGGACAAGAGTTTTGCAAATATACTCGGAAGAAAAGGGTTTAGAAAAACAATGTCAATGGACCTTTCCTTCAGGAGCATTCTTGTACCTCATTTTAGAACTTCCGAGATATTTTCAAAAAGTATGTGTGCAAATTTTTCAGAAATTGGATGAGTGAAAACACCGTTAACAGATTGTTTGACGAATGTCTTTCAAAGGGAGAGATTTTGAGGCGATGGCAAATCGTCTGTTCAGTAGAAAATTATGCGACTAATACGAGACATCTTCTCAACATTCTTCCCCGAACCTACTAGAGCTGTGAGACACCCTCGATTTTCAGACATGTACCGACCACTCGCGTTTTAGTGCGTAATTCTTGTTTTAAACAATAAAATATAATCACTAAACGTCAAGTATACAATTTTCAATTAATTTTAGGCATTGTAGTGATTTATTATTAACAATTGAATTGTTCAAATCGCTCTAGCACCCAAACTATGAAGTATAGACGAAAATTTTCTAATCATGAATCATCTAGAATTTAATAAGGAATAATTTTTGTTTGTTATCAATTTTACCTATCTCCCGTAGATTCCGAGATATGAGCAATAAACTGGCTACGCGATCCGACATGACGCTCTCTACTTGCGTCACGCTACTTTTTCCTTGTTCATATCTCGAAATCTAACGGAGATATGTGAAATTGAGAGACGACAAAAATTATTTCTTCTCAAATTCTAAATGATTCGTGATCCGAAAATTTTCATATATCTTTCATAGTTTGGACGCTAGGGCGATTTGAACAATTAAATTGTTGATAATACGGACGAAAAAATTTAATAGAAAAACGTATCGAATTCGTTAGAAAATTCTATTGAATTTCTATTGAACTGTTCTATTAGTTTTTGGCCGATTCTATTGAAATGTTCAATAGAAAATATTCAGTAGAAAAAGTCAATAGAATTCAATTTTTCTATATAATTTATTCTATTGAGATGTTTCTATAGAATTTCCTCGGCTCAAATTTTCCAAGTTTTTTCGTTTGATTTTCTTGATGAGAAGAAAAGAAGAATAGGATGAAAAAACTTAGAAAATTTGAGTCGAGCAAATTCTATAGAAAATATATGAAAAAAATAAGTTATATAGAAAAATCGAATTCTGTTGACTTTTTCTATTGTATATTTTCTATTGAACATGTCAATAGAATCAGCCAAAAACTAATAGAAAGTTTAATAGAAATTCAATAGAATTTTCTAACGAATTCGATAGGTTTTTCTATTAAATTTTTTCGTGCGTGAATAAATAGTTGCAATGTGATCATAGTTGATTGTTCAAAAAAAGAATTATGCATTAGAACTCGCAGCTCTACCAGTTTCAAAGAGATTTGCAAAATAATCTGCATGGAATTTTCAAAGTTCTATTCAGTACCAATTTTCTGCAAATTTTCTTTGGTAAAACTCTTAGCTGACGGTTATAGCCTCCTAGAACTTAAACTTGATACTTTCACTTTTCTTGTGATTAACTTTCTTCGTTTTCTCATCAAAAAAATCCCTCGATGATTTTCGTGATGTTTTCCACGAGGTTCAGGTGGACTCAGTACCGGAGACGCTGAGGTCTCCAGTTACTGTGATGTCAGTGGAGGGTCCACTAGCAGTGACAGTTGTATTCATCGCAGAGAGGCTCTGGAGACCCTGGAGCTCGGGGACACCTTGGAAGAGCTTTCCAGGGAAACCTTGGAGCAGGTCATAGGAGACTGGGGTCGGTGGCAACACTGCACCGTGTGCATGCGGCGATTGGAGAACGGTTATGACTCTCCTCAGTTCATCCAGAGCATTTCCTGTGGATTTCACAATTCAATATTTTAAACATTCTAACATTGGATTCGAAATACATTCTCTTCAATTGCCTTAAGGATATCCAAGAATTTTTTACAGTTTGGTGGAGACCACACGGTAGATTCAACAATTTTCAATCATCAGATTTGTTTATTAGATTGCATGAGAAAAATTAAAAAAGAAATTCATGAATAATCAGCGGCGTTCAAATTACATTTTGCACCGAAGTATTATTTTTTTTAGGCATACGTTGATTATAAATATATAATTGCAATTGTTTAAACTTTCGGAAACCTTATTTTTTAGGCATACAATTGATTTCTGAATTTATTCTTCTTTCTAAATTTGTTACGATTCCGAACAAATGATTTTTATGGTAGAGAATTGATTGTTTATAAATTATTTATAGACAACGCTCGGAATTTGCAAACATGGCAATTTTTTGATTATTTCCTCAGTCCTTCAACAGTAAACTTCCTATTGTTTTTCAAATCTGGAATGCAGGCGCGCGCTTCGCGCGCGCATCATTTCCTAGTGATTTATGCATATTATTTTCTATCATTATGTATTCATTTATTCATTAAAACATACTCAATGTTGGCTTTTATTATGTTTAGATTTGAGAAAAAAAATGAGAAATGATTTTTAAAAAATTTCCAGATCAAAATTCCATGCTGTAAGGCTTATGTAATTAGGTGCATCTAACAGTGAAATTGGTTCCTTTTTCCAAGTTTCAAAATGTAATTTTCATGCCAACCCTTGATTAAAAAATAGGTGAAACATTTTCAGTCATCAATCTATTTCGCCAAGTCTATGCTGACCTTTCAAGATCGATGTGGGCTTTTCCAGATCAATTTTCACGTTATAAAGTTCATGAAGTTGAATGAATATAATGCACGGAGAGAAATATTCAATAAAAATTACGTATCTTTTTTGTAATTCCGGAGCGAAATGTGGTTGTAGGCAATGCTACGAAACTGTTACGGAATTTGTCCAGAGCGTTCCGTAATTTTTATCTGAATCTCCTGTGAAAAATTACGATACCGTCATTTAAATTTTCTGAATCGATTCTGTAATCGGTGAGCGAATTGTGCGTTCCGTAATTTTTACTGAACATTTCTGCTCCTTGCGTCCTACACGGAGACAAATTTTCAGTAAAAATTACGGAACTCACCGTTCGCTCACCGATTACGGAATCGACTCAGAAAATTTAAGCGGTATCGTAATTTTTCACAGGAGATTCACGTAAAAATTACGGAAAGTTCTGGAAAAATTGGGTGATTTGAGGTAAAAATGATGTGACAGTTCCGTAAAATTTCCTACAACCACATTGCACTCCGGAATTACGGAAAAGATACGTAATTTTTATAGAATATTTATTTCCGTGTAGTTTTCATACAATTTTGGCTATATTACCTTATCAATATTTTCGCACTAATAGACCGATTCATTTATTCCAAATGAGATTCATTAACTATTAACGAATGGTTCACTTGAAAAGTGAAAATCGAGTCAAACAAGGCCCCTCAAATGTGTATTTATTAACTATTAACGAATGAACATTTGGTGAGAGCAAATAGACCCTCGTCTCGAACCAAATCCATTCGTTAACAATAACTAATCCTTTCTATCCGTGCATCTTCATCTGTAAGGATCCTTCCGAGATAAAAATGACTTGACTTGGGATTGAAATGATTTATGAATCGCTCAACAAATTACCCTGCATGAGAATATAATTCTTCGCCAGCAGCAATGTAGCAATCTTCGACAGTTTTCTTACTGAAGGACTATGAGCATAAGGAATGACAGAGCGCAGTTCATCAAGAGCATCATTCAAGTCGTGCATTCTTCGCCGTTCCCGCGCGTTTATGTTCAATCTGACGCTTTTTCCTTGACGCGTGCTCTTAGATTTCGATGGACAGTTCAATCTCGATCCTGCAGGTCTACAACGTAAACAAAAAATCGTAGTTATCGAATTAATTATTCCTCTTAACTCTCGAGTAAAATCCGAAGCAGCTGTATACTTGATAGAGCAGTTAGACTTAATGTGGACACGTAAGTCGAACCGCTCTTCATGTGCTGAATTATTTTTTTTTGAAAAATGTGTGAATGTTCTAGCAAATCCGAGAATTTTTCAAATTTTCTAAAAAACCGAAGAATTTCAGATATCGGCATAATCATAAATTTTAATTAAAGCCAAATTTTCAATACATCAATTGTTAATATTACTCATCATTTTTTAAATTATTACACTAACCATCAATTAACCATCAAAATATTCAAATTGCGAATTATTTCATCAATCAATAATTGAATGCAGAAGATTGACGATTATTTGGCTAATCGAAAATACTTTTATTAAATTTTGAAATATTTACTCAGTAGTCAATTGACAATTTCATATTGTCAATTATTTGGTTCATAGTCAATTGAAAATTCAAATTACTAATTATAGTATTCCTCAAATTTCAATGAAGATAGGGGGGAGTCGGGCAAAATATGATGTATTGTGATCTTCTCTAATTGTCAATATCTTCACTTACAAATGCGTAAGGTGCGATAATTTCTCTTAATATTATATTAAATTAATGATTGATACCGATCCCTAGCGAAATTTCTCGAATTTTCTAGAATTCCAACGGATACCGCTGGCCGATAGGGGTAACTGCGCGAACGACTCCAACATGAAATTAAAGATGTATCCACATAAAAAACACACGATTAATTTATTTATTCGTTCATTTATAAATGAATGAATGACAATTTATATGAATAAATGGAACAATGAAGACACCAGAATTTCTGCAGAAAGTAGAATGAAATCACTTCTGTCAAACTCGTTTTAATGAATATAAAGTCAATGGTAATTGGATCGACAATGAAATCTGAAAAATGTGTCTGCTGTCGATTGGAGTGTACGGTAGGGAGAACAAATTCTGAGGTTTTATGTATTATACTGCCACCGTGAGCTTTGTGGTAAATGTAAATTGCACAATTATAATTGATCATATTTTATGTCGTCGTCGAAGAGCAAAAATTATGCCCGTCATGTACTCCTCTTTGGTTTTACATGCAGTTGGTTTTATGTTATTCTGTCGCAACAGATAATAAATAAATAAATGAATGAATGAATGCATGAATGAATGCATGAATTCATGAATAAATAAATAAATGAAGAAAAGTAGAATACAAAATGATCATATGTTCTCTCCTTGTTCGAATTAAACAAGTGGATAATCGCATTTTCTGGATATGGATGTAGTTTATGTGGCTAACAAATTAGCAATATGCTTCCGAATGGATTCTCTATTTTTGAAATTTATTACTCTTATATTTTATTGTTTTGAATAGTGATACCCATATGACTCTCTTATGATCCCGATATTACCCTTTTATGAGCCTATATGACCCTCATATTGCCACATATGACCTCCATATGACCCTCTATCATCCCATATGAGCCCATTATGCCACCATATAACTCATATATGACCCCGTATCACCTCCATATGACCTAAAGCTTCATATTGCTACTATGCAACTTAACCCTAGACTGGTCACCATGCGAGGGAATTGCTGCAACACGTCGCTTTATTCACCTGGCCATCGCCTGGTTGGCCAGAAAAATTTGAGAAAAATTGAATTCGTCAATTGAAGTATCTGGAAAATTCTAGTATTTTTTTTTTCAATATTGTATCCTTAATTCTGGGAGAAAAAATATTATTTCCACCAGGTGAACAATTTTTTCCCATGTTAAATGAAATTGCCTGTTGCGCGACGTTGCTGGAAACTCGCTAAATGCGCCCGGGAAGTGTAGAGTGCATTCGGCAACGTTGGAGCCTAAATAACACGGCGGTACTCTCCCGCGAAGGTGACTAAAGTCGTATTTTCCCGTCAGGTGACCAGACTAGGGTTAATAAATAGTTATGCTGTTTTCATCATTTTTGCACTTCATCGAAAAAGTATCAAAACTTTTTTTTTGAGCCATGATTTCATTGATATGACTGTTGATTTTTCCAGTTGACCATGAAAAAAATGAAAAAAATCTCAAAATATATGCTGTAGCTCAACAGTGATACATGCAATCGGCATCATATTCTGAGAGAATCAAGAGGCTATCAATACAAATTTTACAAGCCATGATTCATTTCATTTCTGATAACGATTTTTGGACTGAGCGTCAAAAAATCGATTTTTGAAAAAATACCAATATTTCACAAAATCTATAAATAATTCAACCTTAATTGGTCTCGATGAATAGAGCCTATTAACGTCTATATCCATGTAAAAATTCATGAATTTTCATCAAGCCCCTATAAAGAAAACTGAAAAAAAAATGGAAAAAAAGTACGCACACACACACACACACACACATACATACAGACACCATCTAAAAATCGCATATTTAGACATTTTAGACGATATTCAGTTACCCTGACACAAAAATTTGGAAACTTAATTTTGAACGATTACAAAGCTTCCATTCGGAAGCAAAAATGTGCAAAATTGATCGGATTATGGATAATGGGGTGTTGAGATACCTTTCTTGATCCGGACGATTCTCATCAGAGGATAGAGCACTGGAGGAGGCGTGAGGCTGTGGTTGCTGTTGAAAGTAAAAGCCTCCTAGACCAACAGCACCCAGGGGAGTCCTTCTGCCATGATTCTGCGGATGCTCAGTTCCCGTGTAGCCTCCAGGGGCCACGGGAATCCCTGGATGAGACGCCGGAGGCGTTGAATAGGCCATTGACTCCAGGGACGCGTTAGATTGACCCGGCAATTGAGGCTGGAGTTCAATCATAATCATTTCCGTCAGTCTACCTCGGTTTTATCAGTATGCAAATATCTCGGGAAGAAGAGATTTCAAAGCTTTCATCAATTTATTTTTTTTGTACAGAATCTTATGGCTGCAAAAAAATTCTCTTGACATTTTTCCTTAAACCTATGAGTTTTAGAGATATTTGACGCATTTTTATTCAATCAACTCCATAATGAGTAATTTCAAGGAGAAAGTGTAACAAATTCTTTTTGTCACACTTTCTCTTTTTTTACATTTCCTTGTAGAATTTATGGTTTTCTTACGCATGGGTATGATGACATATCATACCATATTCGACATATCACGTTCCGTTGCTTTTAAAACCCAAGATTTTTTCTATGATTTGTGAATGATTGGAAATCTCCGAAAACACGGATTCAATTTTTTTATTGTTATTTTACATCGCTTCGATTGAGTATATTGCGATGATGATCAAGACTTTAAATTGGTTCGATCTTACCATTTTATCCGACCGGGATTTGAACTCGGAACCAAGAGGATTCGATGGTAAGGAACAAATATATTTACTTTTCATTGCAAATGTAAGGAAACTCAACTAAACGTGAAATTCGTCAATACAAATCGATTGAATGAAAGAACGCGAGGAGGACTGAATGTTCAATATGATAACTGTAGTGAAGTGGTAAATCGGTATAAGTCGATTTTGACTACTGCCCAGTTTTCAATGAATATCTCAAAATCTAAGGGAAATAGCAAAATTTTTATTATAACCTTTTTTGTAGAGCAAATTGAGAGCTACAAAAAAGGAAGTTACAACAATTTCGCTATTTCCCTTAGATTCCGAGATATTTATTGAAAACTGGCCAGTAGTCAAAATCGTCTTATACCGGTTTACCACTTCGCTACTGATAACTTCGTTATCCGTTCATTAACATCGCCTTGCGATTCACTAACTTCCACATTAATAGAAAGGATTAGTTATTAGTACAGCTCGTTACAAATTTTTTAACAGCTGGGGGGTATTATAAACGTTATCTATGAAAAACATGGGGACTATCGTAAGCAAAACCTGTTTGCCAAAGATATCTCTCGAATTCGAACATTTCGTTAGTCAATCTTCTTAAAAAATGTTTGAAAATTCTTCTAGCACCTAGAAAATTGATTCAAATTAAAAATAAGCAAGTATTGGAGCATATCTGACAGAAGGCATATGACCGTTACTTTTTGCGTTGTTAGTCCTTTTATTTTTTTTATTTCTACCAATTCCATTGGTAATAAGCTTCCGAATAGACTTTATTGTAATAGACTTTATTGTAATGGACATACAATCGTACCCTGGGAGAAAACCGACAGAGTTCTCAAACAAGTCTTTCTTGTACCAAGAAAATAATTTTTTGAAAATTATCAAAAAATAATTTTTTTGTATAATTTTGACTGTTCGTTATTGCTGTGATATGATCTTGTTAAATAACTGGTGAATGACTCCGGCAACAAAAGTTGCAGGAAAAAAAATATTCGGAAAAAAATAAGGCCCCGTTGCATCAGCTTCGGATAACGAAAACGTCAGATAAGAAACAAAGCAAATTTGGATGTTCGATGGATTATTTTACCCGGGAGAGTATCTCAAATTTATTCCAGGAACAAAAAATAAAATTTAACCCAAGGTTAAATCAGTGTTTGATTCAAATGGGGCTACAGGATAAATAAAAAATTATTCTTCGGGTCAAATATTGAAAAATGATGACCCCTGCGATATAATTGACCTCGAGGATAAATTTTACCCCGGGGTTTATTTGGATAGCAGGGTTTGGTGCAAACGGACTTAATGTGGAAAAAAAGCATTGGAAAAAAAGCGAACCAATGGACTTCCATAAACCCCCGTGACGCCACACGTATGAAAAAATCGTGTAGAAATTTTCTATACGGATTACGTATAGAATTTCTATAGGATTTTCGTATATGATATTCGAATATTTCTATACGGATATTTTTTATACAAATTATTTTTATACGATTTCTATAGGTTTGACCCTATACAACCCACTGCCACATGTATACACTGAGAGAAAAATATAATTCTTCTGACTATATTCCATCACCATCGAATTATAGTAAAAAAGTCCTCAACAATTTTTCATGGGTTACGCTAACTATGGCCGGAGAAGTAATTACTACAATGGAATTTAGTCATTGCAACTATTTTATAGTTCTCCTCACGATAGATTTGTCATGGTTACGTTTGAACTTTGGTTAGTTTAACTGCATTTTGATTTGCAAAAATTACGCTTGTGAAGTTACTATAATGTTATGTGCCGCATACAAAAAAAATCGTGTCGTTCACCAAAATGGCTCAACTATTTTCTTATTGTAAATCGAATTTCAGATTTTTCTCTCAGTGTAGAAACATTTGGTATGGCGTTGCGACATTTCTCTATATTTTTCTCTGGAATGTTTAGACATCTTTCGTATGAATACAAAAATTTATGTAAAAATTTGTTTATAGAAAATATGCGTATGGAAATATAGGGAAATCCTATAGAATATCTATACGCAATCCGTATAGAACATTTCTATACGATTTTTTCATATGGGCAGCTACTCTTCTGTCTCATTCGTTTTACTCTGTAATCTCTTGTGATCCTTGCGACTCTGGTGTCTTTCTGACCCTGTTTTGTGATCTTTTCAATCTAAATTGAAAAATTGACAATTGACATATCCAAATAAACTATTGAGATAGAATTTTTTCATTATTTATCCCGCAATCCTGCGAAAAAATGGCACGGAAAATATATTTTAAATCGTGGCGCCAAAGGAATCGTAATTATACCAATCGAAAAATCGGTCAAATACGAGACTTCCATTCGGAAGGCAAAAAAATAGTCGACTCACTCCTCGATGTTCCCAGGCCCACGTAGGGTGCGACGACCTCTGCCAGGGCCCCTGGTTCATATGGACCTCTGGAACCCCCTCTCTTCTGTCGTCCTCATCCCCCGAACTGCTCTCTCCATCGTAGGACCTCATTTTCGCCTCTATTCCAAATTTCTCTCGCCCCTATTCTACTTTCATCTGAATGAAAAAAAAAGACATTAAAAACATGCTTTCCGATGAATTTCCCTTTTTAATGAATAAATTATGGATTCAGTGACTCACGTATAATTTCTAAGAGGCAATCTACGCGCAGGACATCACTCTCATTGTGTTCGCAGCTCCTTTGATTACTCGGAGGGAACCCCTTTATTTTTAATTCCCTCGATTAAAATGCGTGATTAATAATAAAAAGTATAATTACTTCATAAAATAATTTGGTTTATCTTTGGTTTCAGATTTAATTGATGAAAGGATTCTGACACTTGTTTGGAGTTAGTCATGGGGACAACGACTCCAGGAGGCGACAAATCACAGCCATTTTATTTAATCCCCCACCCCCTCACCGAAGCGATTGAATCACTCGATTAAAACTTGTCGCTTATTTTAATGACGAAATCCACCACTTTTTTAGCACTTTGGGATGAGGAAATAGGGAGAAAGTGGAGGGAGGGGTTGAGGGAAGGTTTTTAGGGAATTTGAAATTGATTATTTAAAGGATTTCAATTAATATCCGGAGCTACTTATCGCCTCGGTTTGCCCTGCGCCCTCGTGGCTCTCCTATTCATCTTCACTTATTTCACCACAATGGGGATGTATTTTAATTCACAACATCCCCAAAAGATAGCGCCATGACCGGGGGTTGGAGTCATTCTCGGATGCTGCTTGGACCGACGAGTGGCGAACCCTACCGAGAATTTTCCAACGAAACAAAATCTAAAGGTGTTGGTTTTTTTTGCGATGCACTGATAAAAACAATTAATTCAGTAGCGAAGCGGTAGAAGGAGACAGGTTAATTTTGACTATTGACCAGTTTTCAATCAATATCTCGGAATCTAAGGAAGATAGCAACATTTTTGTTATAACCTTTTTTGTGGAGCCGATTGAGTGCTACAACAAATGTGATTACAAATATTTCGCCATCTCCTTTAGTTTCGGAAATATTCGTCAAAAACTCAACTGAGAGATAAGTCGACTTATCTCCGTTTACCACTTCACTACTGAATTTTATCAAGAGAATTTTATTTGAGCCAACTATCATTTGGTTGTTAATTTTCAAGTATTAATATCTGAAATATTATCATTTTAATAATAATAATAATAATAATAATAATAATATTATTGTTGTCAATTTTCGAATATTGTTATTTTATAGTGAATACCAGTTATCTCTTCTTGAGATACATTCGATTAGGAGAAATCGAACTTCTCTAGAATTGAAGTTCCGTTTATTTGTCGTAATAATGAAGGTTTTTGATTTCATTCTAGCCAAAAGTTTGCTAACTCCAGAAATTCGTTGGTTTACTCAAAAATCAAAATTATTCTCCTGACTAAATACGTTGTTATCTCAATCAACATGATCATACGTTGTTCCAAGTAAATTATAATTGAAGTGAGCATTTCGTATATCGAATCAGGATGAATATTGTTACGCGGAAAAAGCTTTGAGATTGTAGTAAGATATCGTTGAGTTGAAAGAAATTTATATTTCTTGACTAAAAAAATTAGTTTTACAAAAGCAGAATCACCGATAACGGCAATTCTACATAAACTTGGATATCACAAATTTCATTCAATGTGATGTACGGAAAGCTCAATTTAAACGGTGACCGGAGTTTTTTTCCCTGAAAAAAATTCCTCGGCAAAAATTTCCTCGGAAAAAATTTTCCCGAACAAAAATTTCCCCGGAAAATGTTTCCCCCAACAAAAATTTCCCCGAAAAATGTTTCCCCCCACAAAGATTTCCCCGAACAAAAATTTTTAAATTTCTTTTTATAATTTTTTCCTTGACATTTTTTCCCATTTTGTGGGGGTTGTCAATTATAATTCGATTTGCGACTATGATGAGCGTTTGAGAAGAATTGTTGACAATTATGATGCTGATGAATGTGATAAATTCTTGAAGGATGTAGCTAATTTTGTGTTGTTGTAAATTGACAGCTGATCATGAATTGAAAAATATATCTTTGATTGATTAGTATTTGAGGTATTTTGTGGGGGAATTTTATTCGGGGAAATTTTTGTTAGCGGAAATTTTTTCCGGGAAATTTTTGTTGGGGCAATTAATTCCTCAATTTAATCATCTCCTAGGTACGAATTTTTGATCAATTCATGAAAGTAGAAAATTTCTCCACTGGAGATTATATTAGGTTTAAAAAAATTGAACTTTTCCATTTTTTGTGGTGAATACATGTGACTTGACGCCAAAGATTGTTTTATTTGGTTCAAGGAAATGTATCTCAAGAAGAAATAATTGATATTCACCGGAAGATCTTATTTGTTTGAAATTGGTTCAAGTATATAATACTTGTTCCGAGCAAGAAGCGTCTCAATAAAAATAATTTTTTCTATCAGTGTGGTATCCTCCGATGATTTTTTTGGCGAACACAATTTTATGATCTACGAGAAAAATCTTTCAACGTTTCTCGATAAGTCCACTATTTTCTGAGTTATTCGTAGAATAATCGGCCAAAAACTATTGGAATCAATTTCTTTTAATGTGCTCTAAAATTCAATCTTCGAAATAGTATGATAATGACTTTTTCTGGAGAAAGACATCAGTAAACCTTTTTTATAGAGAATTATGTTGGCTACAAAAAAAATTGGGGCATTTTTTCATGAATCGATTACTCCCTGAGATATTTGCAATAGAATCGGAAATAAAACTTCCTGCAGTTTATATAATTATTCACTCTTACTATCAATCCCAAAAATTTCAATAAAATCACCCCATGAGAATTTTATAAACTGCAAGAAAGATGAAAACAACATTTACTTAATTGTCATTTTTTCAAAATAATAATTAGATAAAAATTAAATATTGTTTTCATTTTTCTTCACCATCCCTTCATATTTTTGGATAATTAACAACAATGGGGATGAACCAGAACATCCGCTCTGAGAAAAATCGCCGGACTTTCTCCGATAAATTGATTAAAGTAAAGAAATGATTATTTAAATTATTTAAATCTGCCAATCCACTTTGGGATTGAATTATTCCATTATTCCGGTAAAAAGAGGCGGTAGAAGGAAATACCAAAGAACTTTGTTGAGTATTATACTAATTCCGAAGCATCTCAATAGGGAGCGTCGTGAAGAAAAAACATCAAAGAACTTTTTTGTCGAAAATTAACCGTTCGAAACCGGGTCATTTGATATTCCCCTCTAAACCCTTTAGTTTGCGGAATATTCACAAAATAGTTGGACATTAAATTTCTTCAATCATTCACGGAGAGAAATGTTCAGTAAAAATTACGGGACCCTCACTTCACTCACCGATTACGGAATCGACTCAGAAAATTTAAGTGACGATATCGTAATTTTTCACAAGAGATTCAGATAAAAATTACGGAACGCTCCGGAAAAATTCCGTGACAGTTCCGTAAAATTTCCTACAACCACATTTCGCTCCGGAATTACGGAAAAGAGACGTAATTTTTATTGAATATTTCTCTCCGTGTCAATTTTCATCCTTTAAATCTCACATTTCAATTGACAAAACATCTCGCTAATAAATGGCGAAGAACCTGAAACCCTCGAATATTTTTTTATACATCTTATGCGCTACCAATGAAGAATGTCTTTGTGAACTCCGTGTCCGCGGGGATTTTTTACATATTAGCCAAATAATCTGAATAAAAATGTTGAAATCTGAACTTAATTATTGAATTATTCTGGTAACGAGTACCGCTGGGCGAAAACATTAAATGACCTTTTTATGGGGAAATAACTCCTCCACAAAGAAGGATCTTGACATTTTCACCTAAACTCATTAATGTCCGAGCCATTTACAAAACAATTCAGTAGCGGAGTGGTCAAACGGTTCAAGTCGATTTTGGCTATTGCCCAGTTTTCAATGAATATCTCGAAATCTAAGGGAGATAGGAAAATTTTTCTCATACCCTTTTTAGTAGCACCCAATTCGCTCTCCAAAAAAGGTTATTATAAAAATTTTGCTATCTCCCTCCAATTCGGAAATATTTCTGGAAAACTCAACTAAAGATTAAATTGACTTAAACCGATTAACCGCTTCGCTACTGAATTCACATCAATCTGGCTAGTAAATGCCGCTACAAGAAAACATTAGGGAATATTTTTTGTGAAAAAAATTGTCTGCCCTACAAAAAGGGTTCTCTAAAAATTTTCAGAAAACCCACTTGTTTCCGCGTTATTCTGACTTATGATACTTCCATCACTCAACAACAGACTTGTTTCATCTCGATATAGTACGCAACTGCATTTCTATCCCCTGAAATATCAATTTTAAATCCCTTCTCCTGGGATTTAAACTTCCTTACCCCCTCCACTACCCTTGAAACTCACCGAACAATTTGAGAGTCCAATTAAAATCGTTTTAATTAGTTGAATAAATGAATTCTCTCCTCTTCATTTAAAAGAATGGGAAAATATTAAAAGTGAGAGAAAAAAAATTGTTGGAATATTCTTTGAAAGGGTGGGGAGATGAGGGTTGGGCGGGTCGATGTACCGAATTTTTGAATCGACAGCTGACGCATTCCTGCGTGCAACTGTACCCAAATATGCACCGGGATAATAACAATTCACTGAGAATCGAAAATTCGAAATTCGTTGGTTTCATTGTTCAGTCCCATATGTCACGCAAATTACGGAGGGGTTGTGGGAGACTATTGAACGTTTTGATGTATCGGAAATGATTTTTTATTCATTGAATAGTGATTGAATCCAGTGGAACAAAAAAAAATATTGATGAAATTTTCTTTTAACGTTATGGATGAAAAATTGATTGCACAATTTAAAAGTTGATTTTACGTTGCTTTCATATAAAAATTGTTTATTAATTATCAGGTCGTGGGGATCTATTGTGTAGATAACGAGGGGAATGTTGACTGTACGCAGACTGGCATAATGTCTGTACACCCTCCGAAAATCCCCCGACAATCCTCGAGTGAAGAGAAAATCCCGAAAACGATAAATAAATGTAAAAGTTAACATGAGAGAAATCCGATCGATCTACATTTCCCCATTGTGTCATTACGAAATATATTTCACCATGAGAATAAACCCCTCGTTCCACTGGCCACCCTCACTTCGTAATAATCCCCAGGCGCAGAGACAAAAAAAAATAGTTCACGAAGGATCCCAAGGAAAACGTGAGGAGTGAAGGAAAAAAATTGAATAAAAAATGTAATCAGAGTTCTTTCTAGTTCCTACCCCCAACCCTCGCTTGCTTTTCCAACCCTTTTTATCGCAGAGGCTTATAGAAATAGGTGGTTGACGCTTACGAACATGAAAAGACACTTCTACATAAGAATATAAAATGAGAAAACGAAATTTAAAAATTCTAGGATAAGAAGGAGGTGCACACGGGATCTTCCGAATCTGGAGGCGCAGAATTCGCTGTTACATACACATATACCAAAATCTTTCAACTGTGTAGGAACAAAAATTGAATGAAAAATGGGGAGAAAAAAGGTCTTTCCTCTACAAACAAAATTCATAAATAAGAGAGAAAGTTGAATGGAACTGAAATTTAAAACGTTTCAGATACGTCATCTCAACTGCATAACAAA